TTGTTTGTTTGTTCGTTTACCTCCATGGTCTCTGAGTGCATTCTGACTATCCTAGGGACCTTAACACGTTTTGCAGTCCTTGTGTTCACAATGAAGGCCCCACGCTTGAGCGAGCCTTGGTACACTCTGAGGTAAGTCAGCTGACCATACCTACCGGCCTATTACAAAATCAAACATACCGTCACGGAACAGAGTGTGCAGTAAACTGAAGACAACAATACCAAACAAAATTAATTTTAATTTATGTTGACAAAGCTTAAAGCGACGCCACGTTTGGGTTTGTGTACCCTAAATCCAAAACTATACAGAAATAACAGTAATAATACCACAATAGGCCATTTCCAAAGTTACCTTGTGCCCCTGTTTCAAACCGAGTCTTCATGCAAAACCTTTCATATGAAAATGAGTTTGATTTGCATGAAAATGAACCTGTTGGCTGAAATCATTTTCAATTGAATGGTTTTTGACACAGAGGCAAAAGACAATTCGGAAATGGCCTATTGTAAGCAATCATGTTTCACCTTAAGTTTAGCAAAAAGTAAATGTAGAATTACAAGTACATGGTAAGGCAATTCTTAACTACCTATCCTCCAACAGAACTTCCATGCGACAGAAATATTGTGTCGTTTCAGAAACTAAAAACCCTAACATTTATGTAGACATGATGATACATGCAAATGCAGCCATAACACTACTGCAAAAAAGACCTGAAAAAAATTTCAGGCTTTGAACGGGATTCGAACTCACAACCTTTGCGTTACCGGTGCAATGGTCTCCCAATTGGGCTATCAAAGCCTGAAAATTTTTTCAGGTCTTTTCTCCAGTAGTGTTACAGCTGCATTCGCATGTATCACCATGTCTACATTTAATTCCTACTGTTGGACATCTATTACCTAACATTTATGAGTAATTAAAAAGTTGATTCCCATACCTCAAGCTTAAAAGCAAGACCCACAAATGGATGAGAGGAACCTATCTCACTGCTCAGCTCAACTTTTTCATCAGGTCTACAATAAAAGTGATTTTAATAACGAGAGGGCTAAGTTGACCAAAACCCATAGATGGCAATGGCAAGCGAGTCCATGATAATAAGGAGAATTCTGATTGGCTCCCTATGAGGTCCAAACTTGGTAATATGGATTGATAAGATGGCTCGATCATGAATCAGTTTCACTTTCAACAAATTGCTTTTTTTTTAATATTGTACAAAAAAACGAAGATATATTATCCATTTTGCCGTGCACGTGTACCTGGAATGGATTGCAGGGACACCTTAATTCACCAGCAGAGTTTTAAAGGGCCTTTTATTAGTTTGTTCAGTCCACGTTGGGGAACATTGGTCTTGTTGACCTGCAGCTTAGTGTGTAAAATGAACTCGGCAAATACTTTATCAATATGGAGCCTATGTTTATATGATTGTGTATTGTCTTACTTGTCACCATCCAGAGCAAAATTTTTCACCTCAGAAGGGTCAGGTAAGAAGTCCACAACACCATCCAGTAGTGGCTGAGGAAAAGAAAATATTCCAGTAAGTACATCAGGTTAACTCAGGTTGACTCATCACTTGCTACCCTTGCTTCCTCTTTATACACCTAACTTCTGGTAAGTACTGGTAGAGCACGCTACAACGTTACACAACTAGATTCTGTTTATCACAATATAACTTGATGTTAGTCACGTCGACTACAAAGTTAGACGACTCGACAAACTGGGTGTATTGCATTATTTTGGACAACCCATGTGGAGGTCGAATGGCTTGCAAGCTGGACTCTGCATCGAGCGGTTTGGGTTCGAGCCCTGGCCGGGGTCATTTCGTTGTGTTCTTGGTCAAGACATTTTACTCTCTCTCCACCCTGGAGTATAAATGGGTACTGGTCAATTATTGTTTGGGCCACCTGACAGAATGCTGGGAGGTTAGATCTGCAATGGACTAACATCCACGCTGCCTCCCCCTCAGGCTACCCTGAGAGTTGAGTGGGATCAGTGTCTAAAACAGGCCGGGCGTTATCAGGATGAGCTGGGAACGAGCTCGAAGCACATGAGCCGGGACATCTTTCTCTGCACCCTTGATTTCATGGGTTAATTCATCATTTTTTATTCACTCTCTTTGGCACATCAACCGGGGACGAGGCAGCTATCCAAGGGGGAGTAGCAATACTCCTAGTTGTTCCATGCCAGATTTAAGAGCCAGTTAGGCTTAATGTCTGCTTAATTTAGTAAATTCACATTCTCCCAACCGATCACCATAAATTTCTTTCCATGTCAGAGTTGAGAATTGGCCAAGACTAAAATGGAATGAATAAGAACTACATGCTCAAGACTACGACAAGTGGAGGAACACTGTAGGTTCCCTATGCTCCACAGAGGAGCGAAAAAGATACGGAAAGAGACAGGCCATACATTGTAGATCACATGAAACCCTGTGAGGACAATGAATGGTGATCAATGGAGCATTACACCCTTCTTACACAAACAATTTAGCTTGACCATGCCTTCCTGCAGTTGTCAATGTTCAAAACGCCACAAAAAAGCATGCAATGTCTGACACACTGCACAAAAAAACCCTACCTGGATTCCTTTATTTTTTAAGGCAGATCCTACAAACACTGGTGTAAAACTTCTCTTGATAGTGGCCCGGCGAATGGCAGCCTAAAACAAATAACACGGATGTTCCGAGGTTATTGGCAATTCAAAAATAAAATACATACTGTACACATGCATGTAGCAGTGTAGTGGCTACATTAATGAACACCTACTATTAGCTGTTCCTCTGTCGGCTGAATTTCTTCCAGGAACATTTCTCCTAACACTTCATCAACATCTGCAACAGTTTCTAGAAAACATAAAACAGCACTCTGTTAGAGGCGCAACACGTCTCTTCTAATCCAGGAGAATTAACCCCTTCACAGAGCCATATAGAGCTCACGAGTGCTGGAACTTACAATTTATAATGAAAACACTGTGGATACTGTAGGTTGTGTGCATTACAGGTAACCTTGTAGGATTTTGTTTCACTTTTCCAATTTTAAGGGCTAGGTCATATTACCTCGCTGTATGTAATCATTTATTTTTGCCATCACAATATTGACAGCGGAAGCCACATCAGCCCTAACTAATTTGGAGATGTTGGTTTTTGGAGGGAGGAAAACCGGAGAACCCAGAGAAAAACCCTTAAATTTGATAACTAGGCTAGGCGAGAACCAACAACAAATTACATGTATCTATGAGTTCTAAACTTCAAATTGGCTGAGCAGTAGCCTTTTACTGGCAAAAACTCAACCACATGTCAAAGAAGAATGTTTTTTGAGCCTTAACAAGACACTTGACATTAACAAATTGACATCAACTTGGAAAAACATTGGGCTGATATTTTTCACATTTACCCTAAAGGGTAGGAAAAAAGAATGAAATCCACTTGCTGAATGGGTCAGTAAATTTATTACTTGCCGATGTGGAAAATCAGACGACAAATGTGAAAAAAGCACGCTTGGATTCTTAACAATCCATGCTTTCGACCTAATGGTTAACTAAGTTTTGCAGTCTTAAGTTTTCAATTAGTTTCTGACTTGAAATTATCATTTATCAAGCCAACATTAATATTTTTATTCAGACTTACAGTACAAGACCACTGTGGCTAATTTCACTTGCCCACCTGGCCACTGAACTTCAGATCTATTCTCACTTGCCCACGAGCAAAATTTACATGTACCGGTACTTGCCCTGGGCAATCAGACCTGGGTTTTTTCCTGCCCTGCCCTAATGAAATTTGTTTTAATCTCCTTCAATTTTGACCATCCATTCCCCATTTCAGCTTTCCTGAGTTCCCTTCCTGTGTTCCTTGCCTAAAAGCTCACGCAATTTTGAGAGAATTTTCAAATGTCAGTAGCAGTGTAAATCCTTAGTTGTATTCAAATTCACATGATTATCTATACTCATGTGCAAGTTCAATACAGCACGTACAAGTGTATGAGGATGTTGATTTTACTTGACAGAAGTTAATACCTATGAGTTCTTGTCGTCTTTTTGTACATTCATGAACCATGTCTTCTGGAATAACGCCTTCCACAACTTTTGACCTGTTGGTGAATTTACAGACAAACTACCGGTAATTACAATGGCAAAGAATGAAATACTATATTCAATCTCTCATTCCATCCATCTCTACNTCGATCAGAATGACTTAACAATGATTGAAAAACAGCTAGAAAAACTCTACCTGATGATACTTAGAAAATAGTGGGCTGGCAATAATTTAAAATCCCTTTGTTTGACTGATTTTCGTTCTTGGCCCTCTCAGCTTTCTTATTAATACATGTACACATATACGAAGTTGTGTAGTAAAAAGGAATTATCAAACAAATCCTCTTGTCATCCAATGTACTTTTTGTAACAAGATGTTTGTTATCTAAAGTAAGGTTAACCAGCAAATTACATGTTACATTGTACAGTTGTCGCTCTGCCTTTGAATGGCAGCAAGGGTGGAGGTGATCTTGTTTTGAAACAGAACTTACTACTTTTGTGTGTACATGTAAATCAAGTTGTTCTAATGCAAACTAGTTGCATTTACATGAGAAAAGCAGAGAGGTTTGTATCAAAGTAAAGTCACCTCCAGCCTCACTTTCATTCATGGGCCAGGTCACTGAGCACACAACTGTAAAATGCCCTACTATACAATAATTATAGCAAAAGCTGGTGATGCTAAAATCACGTATTAAGCAAAGAGAATTCACATCACCATGTTAATAAGTTGTAATTTATAGTTCTTTCTTCTCCTCTCAGAGTTTTTTAAAGAAATGTTAAACATTTTCTCAGTGTTTCTCTCATCAAAGTTTGGGAAAAATGTCTCAAACTCATTCATAATTTGCCAAGTGTACATAAGATATCACGACTCTGAGGACATTTCCATATCTGATCTTACATGTAGCATAGATTTTTATAATTTTGTTTCTCTACTTTCAGTTAAGTTTTAAAATGTAGTTCTGATTGTGAATTTAACGGTACATTGTATGTCAAACTCTCTAGACAGTGTTTTGTTACATTTCCAAATCCCTCAAGGTTTGTTAAAAACACTCCTGACTGCATGTCTTATTTTAAACTCTCTTCCCAGGGTTTAGAAATACAGTTAAACATGATTTCTTGTGTTTAATATACTACAAGTAGATTTGTTCAAAAGAAAGGTTTTCTGTTTCTTAAACTTGCTAATACACTAACTTCATGATCAATCATGTCTTCATACTAACCTCGTGCATTTGACTGATCCTTCCAGTGTAAAACAATAACCTCTCAGTAAGGGTAGTTTTTCCTGAGTCAATATGGGCAGAGACACCAATATTTCGAATTTTTGATACATCTTTCTGTAAAAATAATCATTATAAAGTAAAATAAAATGGTAATTTTATTTCTCACATTTCCTTCTTGTGGTGAGCCGTAAATATTACCACTGCATGACTCACAGACTCAGTACATGTACATATAGTACTAGAGTACAAATTCCACCTT